CAGGAATTGACTTCACCTTGCCTAGGTTTTGCTGATTTTAAAGATGAAAACATCCAGACAAAGCCAATCTCCTGATGGCAGTCACAGAGTACCTGCATCCAGCATCTCCAGAATTGCACAACAAGAGAAAGGGAGATACGAAACAGATGAGATGAATTCTACTGTAGGCAATTAATCAACAAAACTCAGAAGTTTTAAGGAAGACAGTTGATCTGACAGATCAATCTGATAGTTAAAGCACCTAGATGTTGACTTCCGTACTTTGAAAGATACGATGTACAACCTGATGCTGTTTTACCCTGGAAAGCCAGGAATCCTCAAATGGGCACGTAAAATTAGCAGTTATGTTTTGACATTAATTTCTCTTGTGTCTAAAATGGAACCAAGTCAGCCCTTCTCTCATAATGCTATTGTAAACGTAAATACTTTGATAGTTCTTAAAAAAGTCAAGGCTGTAATGATGAGCAATCTGGGAGAGCCCATAGAAAACATTAGTGCATTAGTTTTCCAAGTGGGGCTTGGGCAGTAAGCCGTAAATGAGGGATAGGATCACTTGCTAAGGAGAAAAAAAAAAGCACGGAATAGGTTTTCATTAAGTGAGAACCATCCGTCCATCCTTTACACTAAGCAAGAATGGTCCTGTGGGCCATTATTTTGTGATTAAAAGACCATTTCATTGTGCATACGCACAAACTGGCTACAAGAAGCCTTCTCAGGCAACCTTAATTCTGGAATTTCCTGATTTTTCTCTTTATCTTGGCAACTTCAATTATGTTCCCTTACTGTGGGAGTATGTAAGTGTTATTCATATATGAAAGCAGTTTTACTGTTTATTTCTTCCTAAAAAATGGGGAGTCAGATCATTATTTTTTCCTGTCACAGAGGCTTTTCCTCACAATACATTTTAAAATTTACTTCCAAGCTACTTTTTTCCTGTTTAGAAAATGCTTTTTTCTTCCCTTTTTTGCTTTAACAAATATTTGCTTTTTCCTCCCCCTCTTCTTCCTGCATTTGCTGCTGCACATTGTTTGTTATTGCCCAGCTCTTCAATAGCACTGAACTAATGGTATCATTTTATTTGCAAAAGAAAAGCAGTGAAGCATTTGTTTTGAAAAGAAAGGCTTAGGCAAAAACTCCCAAAAGCACAATCT